TATAACAAAAGGACAGTTACCGTACTTACTTATTTTTGTCTGTTTGTTTGTTTGTTGAGACAGGTTCTCACTCTGTAGTTCAGGCTGGGCTTTAACTCACTGTGCAGCTCAGACCTACAGCAAGCCTCCTACCTCAGCTTTCAAGTGTTACAAGTGCATGCCACTGTGCCTGGAATCTCTTTTACATTTGTATGGTAGTTTTTAAACATTTTTTGGAAAACTTTAAGATTAATTATACAGAGAAAAGTATAAATGAACTCTTCTTTACCTTCAAATGTTGCCCTGCTCTAGAATCCTAGAAACTTTATTAAGCTGAAATATTCCAGTTATGTGACAAAAAATATATAATTTTTATAAGATAAATGTAAATAAATTTTTATGCAGATAAATATAAAAGATACTTATATCTGTGTAACTGTAGTGCCACATATATTTAATGTATCATAAAAAGTCTAGGCAGTGTTGCAGTTCTTAAGTTTTTGACACAGTTTTTGGATCAGGGCTCAAGAGTGGCCAACATCTGCTGCCCACTGCATGCTTGACTCTCAGCCTGATGCCCGGTGGTGAAGAAATTCATGCATCCCACTATGCTTTCCATAGTCTGGATTTCGCTTGCTGGGTCTTTCTCAACTGATGAGCGTTTCTTAGGTCCTTTATTTTATTAAGGATGCAACTTCCTAGTATTAACATTCTTTCTTCGTTTGTTAGCTAGGAAATCTCTATACCACTGATGTAATTACTCTGAGGTACAATTCTTACCAGGAAGGCAGGATAAATTCTTGGTGGTTTTACGTTTTTGTATCAGTTAACAAACAGTGAGATGATTGCCTAGTACCCTCCAAAGGTGACCAGTAAATTAATTTTTAAATATAGTGAATTTATAGATTTAATTCAAAGACAGGCCATGTATTAATTGCTATTTGATTATTGATGCTTTAATTGTTTTGTTTTTGATGAATGAAATCCTCTTTGGGTTGGCTTGTGAATCCTTTTGGCCCAGCCCTAGTAATCTATGATTTTGGAAAGGATAAAATGTTCCAGAATCATCGTACACATCTCTTGACACCAGCCTGGTAGGCAGGCATGTCTAAGTGATCACTCTTCCGTAGGAAAGCATGTTTCAAGACCTTAGTCAGATTGCAGTAACAGATTATTTAAGGTCATACAGTCAAGAGTAAAATAGGAAACTAGTCCTGGTCTAGTTGTTTTGTTTTTTTGGGATTTTTTTTTTTTCCAGAACTGGGGATTGAACTCAGGCCCTTGCGCTTGCCAGGCAAGCGCTTATTCTACTGAGCCATCTCCCTGGCCCCAGTGGTGTAGTAATTTTCAATTTATACAGAAATGAAAAGGTTAAAGAACAGTTTAAATAGAACATAATGAAAAATCTAAAGGAAAGTTTGAATTCAGTTCGTTAGGTATTTATAACAAAATTGACCCCTAGGATTATGTTTTTGCAAATTTCATTTGGCCTTCTCTGGGTACCTCTTCCATTTTATATAGTGGAAGGTTGTACTTACCTATCTGTTGATTTATTAAAGCAAACCCAGCTATCTTACAGTTTCATGATAATCTCAAATCTATGCACAAAAACAATAGAAGTTGACTTCAAGTCAACCGAACAGTTTGAGATTAGTAAAGAGAAGCAAAAACCCTTGTGTCAGATGGAGCACTTCTTTCTTAGAGCATATGTCTTCATGCATTAAAGAGCCAGTTTAAGAACCATTTCTACCCCCATGTTTTGAGACAGGATCTCACTTTGTGTGCAGAATGGCCTTGAACTTCCTTCTGTAGCTGAGGCTGCCCTGGACTCACTGTGATTCTCTTGCCCCAGCCTGCCCAGATGCTGGGTTACAGGCATGCACCACCACATCTGGCTGTGGGAACTGTTTCTAAGATCTGAGTCTATTGAAGTAAACCTTTTATCATTTTCTGAATGATTTGTTTTGTTTGTCATTCTTTTTATTCATCAGATATTTTTCAGCCACCCATTGGGTGTTAGGTAGTGCATTAGGTGGCAAAAATACTGAGGGGAAATTTGCCATTGGCAGCCTTCAGTCCCTCCTTACAGAAGGTATTTCCCTCACCTGTGCTTTTGATGGGGCTACAGTAATCACAGACCAAAACGCACCTCAGTGGTTCTGATCTCTTCCCCTTCTGCAAAACGAAGCCCTGAGCATCCTTACTGGCATCCGCCGACACCAGCAGCACTTTGTAAACTTCCTGACTTTCTGAGGAACTTTCTCTACCTACCTTTCCTGTGACATGTTATTTTTAGTTTAAAGTTTCCCTTAATTTAATCATTTTTGGTGATAAAATATAGAAGTAAATTCAAATTCTAATTTGAGTTTGTACTTTTTACAGCTTCTCACTTTTTAAAAAATATAGCGGTACTTGTGGTCACCCGAGTTACCGGTGTGTAGAGCATGTATCTGTGGATTTCCTTAGGAGGATATGGGTGGTCTGCCTCGTCACATTTTCTACATAGCAGGTTCATCTGTATTATCTTGGTAAAAACTCAGCTACCTACAAAATCGCATCTACACAAATCACATTTTCCTTATTTAAAAATTGAATCTATTTTAATCTCGTATACAAAAACTATAGTCAGAAATTTGTACTAAAATGAAATTCAATGGAAGGAAGCACAGTTTTAATGACAATTTTTTTTTAAGGAGACCGTTGGATGTGCCTTTCAGCTTGCAGGGATGCCATTTGGGACAGCACGTTTTATGTTGAATAAACAATGATTTAAAACGACATATAAATGATTATTTCATACAGTTTATTTCCAAGCATTTCTGTGTGTAGAGAGAAACTGTTACGTGCTAAGTTCAGAGGCTGGCCATTGTGCCATTACGGTCCTTAATGACAGACAGCACTTGTAGATTATTCCAGCAACAGGACAGAGGACTTGACGGTGGGCACCGTGCCATGCATTTTGTGATACTCTGAATGGTCAAAGTTAGGCTTCCTTTTCTCAGCACACATTTTTCCCCAGGTGATTTTTGGATGAGAATGAATTCCTTCTGAAGCGCCTCCTGTGTGGTGTGCCCAGTACTGGCCTGCCTGCATTTGCTCACCTTCCACAGAGTAGTTCTTCCTAACTGCACTTTTCTAAGACCCACTTAAGCATCATTTTATGTCTGTGCCCTTTGGTTGCTACTGGACATAATTTGTCTTCACCTTATACTCAACGAAGTGTAAAAAAAAAAAAAAATGGCTTTTTGGTTTTGTTTTTTGGGACTGTCTCACTATGTAGTGAAGGCTGGCGTTGCGTTTGCTTACGTGGCCCAACCTAGCCTCAGGCTCCCTGCAGCCCTCCTGCCTAGCCTGCTGCGGGCGTGCACACCATGCCTGGCAGATACTTATTTTTAAGTTAGTACATGTCTGCAGTCCATAATGACTACATTTCACTTCAGGGAATTGGTGTATATGCATGACACATTTCAGTTTTTCCCCTTTCCTCCACTCCCTTTTATTTTTCCAGTATCCTATTCATTTATTAATTTTATAAGACTTTAGATGAAGTGCCAGTGTGATAGCGCAGACCTGTATCTCCAGTATTTGAAAGGCTGAGGCAGGAGCATTGTTGCAAATTCGAGGCCTTTTTGGGCTACATGGTGCATTCAAGACCAGCTTGAGCTATAAAGTGAGACCCTGTCTACTGAAAAGGAGAAGACTTTATAAAGGTAATTGTCATATATAAAAATTAACAACCAGACTAACAGGCAAAAGTACATATAAAACATGCAAGCTAATTGGGCTAAACTAAATTAATTAGCTTTTATAATAGCCAACCAAATATTTTTCTGCATACCTACGAGGTTTAGCCATGTTCCTGTAGGACTTCCCTGTCCCGAATGGCTTTTGGGCATGTAACATTTCTGGTCTGATTGGAGATGTGCTACTAGGTATAAAATACAAACTAGGTTTTGAAGACAGAGTATGAAAAAATATTATAGAATATCTCAAAATTTTACATTGATTACATCTCAAAATGAAAATGTCTTGGATATATTGGGTCACATAAAGCACACTATTAAAATTCATTTTATTCTTTGTACTGTTTTCAATGTGGCTTCTAGAAAATTTTAAATCACACTGGATATGGCTCACATTATTGTCTACTGAATACTGCTGCCCTAAAACAGTGGGAAACTTATCATTATATAGTCAGTAAAATCCCTATCTTTGCATGACAGATACTTCTGTTCCAGACTTTATTCCCAGTTGTTAGTTTGGCACATGGTGTGGGAGTGCCATGTGGGAGCTACGAGCTCACTTTCTAATGCACGTGTGCATGATCAGGGTCATTGCAGTGTCAGGGCTGGCTCAGTTTGAAAAGGGTCACTGTTCACATGAATGAAATCATTACCTCTGATCAAATGCTGTATTCTGGACCTAAAATTTTTTTTAATATTGTGCAGATTACTTTATGGATCTTTAACTCTTAACTTTGTAAATGAATATTATATATCAAATAAATGTTAATGAGGAAAACATGCTTTGCTGCACTAAACCCTTAGTTATAGTTTTACTACTTTAGCTGATAGTTTTATAATATGTATGGATATTAGAATGAGAAACATACTTTACTGATTCAGCTTTATTACTGTTGGAAATATAGTTAACATAATCCACATTAAAGTTATGACATGCTGTACTCATTTTATTACTAATTTTAAGATGCATATAAAAGACAGCAAGCTCACTTAAATTGAGATAGGTCAAAACAAGTTGTTTTAATTTCCTAATTTAGTATGACTGCTATGTGTAAAACTTAGTGGGTTTTTTTTAAATAAAGCATTCTTTCAAAAAACTTTCTTGAGTTGAGTTGGAATATTGAAATTGTGAAAATTACATATTTTCATTTTCAAGTGATCAGCATTAAAACTGTAATTGTATCTTGTGTGAATATGGCTGCGAAGCAGTGAAACATTCCTTTGGCCATTAGAGAAAGATTTTTATCGTAAAACATCAATGTTTGTCTTAATTTTTAGGAAACCAGAATTCGGGCAATGGACAAAGATGACAAAAACAGGGTCCATAACTTCTCCGTCATTAACCCTCTGGCTGGACAAGCCGTGACTCATATCTTTGCAGTTGACAGTAGAACAGACCTTCACAAGTGGATGGAAGCGTTCTGGCAACATTTCTTTGACCTTAGTAAGTAGGCATTTGGATTCTCTAGTAGTATATTTGTGTGTCCTGAAACGTTACACAGTCTAAATATTGAAATTGTAACCTTAAGAGTTTGTGGTAAGAATTTTCTTTTTGCATAACAAGTTTATTTTTTTTAAAGGCATTTGGACAAAACCAAGCAAGCCTGTAAGTAGATTTTAGCTTCTGTCCCAGAAATGTTCTATTAAGTTTCAGCCTCTAAACGTTTTAATTCAGGCGTCGCCATCTTCAGAGCCCGCTACTTTTCTTCTGTGGAGTTAACTGCTGTTTCCTCTCTGTCACCTGGCCTAGTTCGTCAAGGATTTCTGTTAAGCCTTGATCTGAGGCCTTCCTGTAGCAGTCCATTTCTTGCCATTGGCATGCAGTAATTCTCCACTGCATTTGCTTTCAGGCTTTACAAGGGCTAAGTAACTTGCCCTGCCCGGCTGGCTGGCCCAGAACGTGGGCCGAGGTACTGTGCCTCTGCTCCGCTCCCACGCCCTGCTGCATGCTGAGCTCGGTCTGGGGTCCTGCCCCTGCTGCTGCAGTGCCCACCCGCCGTGGCGCAGCTGTGGTGCCAGTTTTCAATCCTCTTTAAAAAGCAATAAATGGCAGCATGTCGTACCTGCACTAAGTCTCTTTCTCCCGCTCTCTTTCCCGTGCCTGTCTCTCCTGCAGTATGCCTTCTTCACGCATTGACGGTCTTCTGCTCACTAAACAGCCAGACGGCATTTTCTCCAAATACTAGGTTTCATCTGCATAAGGCAACGTGTTTGATTCAGAGGATGCAAAGAGAATTAAGAACAAAATTCTTTTCCAGGAAAATGATGATCTTAAAATATTGAAATGTTCAGAAGGAGCCTCGTTTTTGTGTAACCTATAAACTCCAGATTCATTATAATACCATTTTCAATGTGATCCAGAGTCACTTTTTCTTGTCTCGCATTTGGTTTCTTTATCTCAATGATAGTGTCCAATGGCATGAGTTACAAAAGTAGCATGATGGTAATGTAAATCTTTAACTTACATTACTAAGCGTTTTGTTTGTTTTGCTTTGGTAGTGAGACAGAGTCTCTCCATGTAGTTCAGGCTGGCTTTGAACTCACCGTGTAGCCCAGACTGGCCTGGAATTCACAGTGATCCGTTTGCCTCGGCCTCCTAAGTGCTGAGATTACAGGCATGCACCACCACACTTAGCTTTAAAGAATTTTTACCAAAAGCAAAATATTTACACTGTAGCAATTATTTGTATTTACTGACAGTAAATTTCATAGCATATTTGCTATGTCTGTAGAATGATAGTCTGTAGAATTATAAAGTAGAGCCATTTCCATACAATGAAAAGTTATTACTGTAAATAAGATAATTCTAGAGGTAAGGAGGAAGAAACCCAGCTAGTGCCCTTGTAGAGCGCCTTGCGCTCTCAGTGCGTCACGTGTTTCTCACAACATCCCTGCGGGTTAGAGGTCATTTCACTGCACTCTAAAGCAAACCAAGGCCTACGGTGGGTTCTGGTGTGTGACCTGCACAGAGGGGGTCCTTGCCAGCCTCAAGTTCTTTGGGCTTGATTTCTGTAGGTGCAGTCCCCAGCACTCGGTGCATCAGCTTGTTTTTTATTTGAAAATTTCAACAGATTTTGGTGGGTAACATTAAATGACACCCCTTTATGGCTAAAGTTTTATTTTTTATTAGTGTTGCTTTGGGGAGTTAAGCATAATACTCCTTCATCCCTTTTCCTTCACCTGCTCCGTGACCCCTGCCCCCTCCGCCCATCTCTGGATCCCTCTCCCATTGGCGAAGGGTCTGTCTCGCCAGTTCCTACTGTCCTTCCTGTAGTGTGCTCTTTACAGTGTCCCAGCATGCATGCATTTTCCCCACGAATGAGTCCAGTTATCATTGTGTAAGCGTGCTGCATTTTCTGTATTCATTCATTCTCTTTTAACTGATTTCCTGTTTATCTGATTTACAGAGTTTGTCTTACAAAAGGCTGTATTCCTTTTAAAAACAATTCTGATGTTTTATACTTTCTAGGTGTATAAAACCAGAAAGGAACTGTGTGTGAAGGCACTAAGGTCAATATGTTGTAGTCTGGATATCAGTTATTATTGAGAATGGTCTCACCTGCTAGATCTGAAATAATTTATGCTAAAGTAGAGCGTTAGAAGGATTCAAATCTTAGGACATTTTCTATCAGATATAAAGTATGATATACCAAGAAGTAGAAAGATTGGGCTCTCAGGTCATCTGCTTCTTGGTATATCATACGTTACAGGATAGATGCTGCCAACCTATAGAGTTTTTAAAGTACAAATTCTATAACATAGAATACTTCAATTTAATTATACTTCAAAATTCATTATGTATGAGATAAAAATCAAAGATGGAAATGTTTATTCCATCCTAAATATTGACTTGTGCTTTAAAATTTTTATTTTCCTAGTGACAAGCATAGTTTCTACGATCTTACTTGAAGAGTAGTGGAGGCAGGTGGCAGGAGCAGAGCAGTGGAAGGCTGCCTTCGTAGCCGGAGCGCTCTTCAGCTCTTTGGCCATACCTGAGAGGGGAAGCTGAGGCTGACAGACTGAGCCTTCCCAAGCCCGTGGCCGGAAGCAGGCTTGGACGCTTGGAGAGGGGCAGCAGGGGTGGAGGCAAGGCGGCAGTAGGGCCAGAAGGACAGATTGTGATGTTTTAGAGCTAGCAGACATTTGAAAGGGGACTGACACTTGCTCTGGAGAGGAGTGTGGCCTGAAAGGCAGATCAGAGATAGAGTTAAAGTCGTCTTGGAGCTGATGTCATGGTTTTTCCCCCAAGTATTTAATATGTGTTGGCCTATATTAGCAACTTAGCAAAGTAGATCATTTTGAGTGGGAACATTATAATGTAAATAGTATTACGGGTAACTTCCTCACTATAGAGATGCCCACATGAACAAAGCAGTTCCATTTACTGTTCAACCTGCAGCCCTGCTGTTGGCAGGATCCTGGCCGTCAACGTCTGCCTGTGCATGCAGACTTCCTGGCAGGGCACAGGCACGTCTGCCCCCGTGGGCGCATCGCATTGCTCCTCTGATGTCAGCCGCTTGCGTAACAGTGGGTGGGCATTGTGTGCAGGGTCCATTATGGCCACTATTCTCTACCAGTTTAATAATGAAGTGGTTCCATCTACCAGTGTACACAAATACTATATAATAACTTGTCTAAGAATGTGACAGAAAAACATTTGCCACTTAAAAGTGAGTAATTTCCTAGCCCCCCTACTGCCAAGAAGAAAAACCCTGCCTTTTATTGTATTTATTTATAAAAAGAAATAGGGAGAGAAATAAATTGTCAGGTCTCACATCCTGCTGGATTTAAATTCTGGAGAGCAACCTTTGAAACGGTGCACCCAGGAACTTCCTTTTTGAACTGCTATGTGGGTTATTCTGAAGCTTTTACCAGATTCTGTTCTTAGCTCATAAGAAAGCATGCTGAGAGGTTCATTTTTTAATGTATAAACAATAAAAGTAAATAGAAAATTTAGCATGAAATGTCTTTATTTCGTAAGCTATAGGAAATGACCAAGTCGAATATTGAGTTAGGAATATTGAGGGCATGAAAAATGGAAGAGATGTAGAGCATCTACATCTCCTGGGGGGCCAATATGAAAGCGCAGGACCTGAAAAATGTTTTTATTAATTTGTACACACACAGTGTCTGACATAGATGTCATTCAGCATGGAAGTACACAATAAATTTGGTGAAATTAAATTTTTTAATATCCATTCAGGAGAAATAAATGTGAAAATTTTAAAGTTAAAACAATGAAAGAAAAAATAAGGAAACATAAATAAAAGAAAGACTAATGTATATGCTTAAATTTAACTTAACAGTTGAAACAACTTATTCCATGCATTGCTTTTATCTTATTTCATATTTGTAATGGCTTTGAAGTGTTTCTTAATAAATTAGACTCAGAAGTTTATGATTCTCTTTTTGGGAGAAAGGTTTTTATGTCTCTTTGGTGTAAGCAGATGCACAATGTTTTCCTAGGGTTACATTATTTCAAAAAGCATGAGAATGACTTTAAAGATATTTGTTAAGCCTTATTTCTCAAGATTTTCAAATTGAAGTTATTTTTTAAATCCACCATTTCTTATGTTTTTTTCCTACTTCTGGGCAAATATGTTTCTGCCATCGTGCACCTGTCAGCTGTATTGAGCACTAGGTATTTTAGTTTAATATTTAAAAGAAGAGAACCTTCACACACTGCACCAGGACGAAATTTTAAGGCAGCATGTTGGCTGTTTAGCAAAATAGTAGCTAATAGCTTAGAGATCTTAATATTTATGCATAGAACTTTATTTTTTGAATAGATTATTTATATGAGCAGAATTTGACTTTAAATTGTGAGTAATACAAAATTTCTTAAAAGCTTTTATACAGCCATGCTTTATTTATAAATTCACTGTTACTTCTCAAAGCAAAAAGTACCTATATCTGTTAAAAATGAAGAAAAATATATATATATATATATTTATGTTTTAAACTAGCCTGCCTTTCTCTTTTTTAGGCCAATGGAAGCATTGTTGTGAAGAACTTATGAAAATTGAGATTCTGTCACCACGGAAACCACCTTTGTTCTTGACAAAAGAAGCAACCTCAGTCTACCATGATATGAGTAAGTGGGGTTTGGCCTTTCTAAGCTGCAGGATAACGGAAACAAATTGTCTATGCTCAAGCTCCTTCTTCTATTGATATTAAAATGCTAAAATTTTCAAGGCACAATCAAAATGAATGAAAAAAGACTGTGATTATAAGCTAAGGAACTCATGTTTAATAGATGAATTAATACAAACTTAATGTATGCTCATTTTTCATAGTTTGCTCAAAATCAGACAAAAATTTTAAAATTTAAAATGAATAAAGTCACTGAAAATAAATATTAACTGAATAGCTGATAAAATTCTGAAAATACAAACTTTCAGATTCTATAGTGTAATCAGTACTTTTTCCTGTATTTTGTTGAATTTGTTCGTAAGTAGTTTTGATAGATAAACATTCATAAATGGAAGCTTTCATCTCTGGTCAAAAATAATGAAGTCTAGTAATCTAGAAAATTTTAAATTTCTTAATCTATTAATACTCTGTTTTTCTACACTTTTAAAAGGTGTTTATTTGTCCTTGTGGGAATTGTCTTAGTGAATAGTTTAGTATATAAGCACGAGTCAACAGTCGCTTCTCTTCAAATTTGCCATTAATGTACCTGCATTTGTATATACTTTAAACTGCTAGATTAGGAATAATTTGTTTAGGTTTACACATTGGAAAAATACCAGTAATTCCTTCAGTAGACATTTATCTCTGTTCCTCTATGTTTTCCAAGGAAAATTTCTGGGGTCCTTTGAGACAGGGTCTCCGCGTGTGGTTCAGGCTGCTCCCTGTGCAGCCCAGCGGGCCTCAGGTTCAGTGCTCCAGGGGCTGGGAGTGCAGGAGGCGCAGCCCTCCCTGCTCCAGGGACAGTTGCACCCTGCACGCTTATCACTGAGATAGAATAAAGGCTGCACTCTCTTCCTGAGGTTTTGATTTGATGTTTTTTTGTTTCTGATTTGTTTTGCTTTTTTCACTTTACCAGAGACTTTTCTAGTCTACAAGAAAGAATACTGATTGAATTATAATTATCACAGCTTGTATATCAAGCTTTCCTAGAAAGCTCATGTGTGTATAATACATAGTACATGTATGAGGCACCATGCTCGATATCTTTGGGTTTGGGTTTTATTGGTTAGTTATTTTTATAGGTAAACATTTTATTGGTTACCATACTCTTAAGGTTTTGATGGCCAATATAGGTTAGTAACTTCTTAGTTTGGGAAATCGTAAGTTAAAGCGCAAACTCTTGAATTTTTCCCATCTAATTTTTCCTTAAAATTATTACAGGCATTGATTCACCTGTGAAACTTGAAAGTTTAACTGACATAATTCAAAAAAAAATTGAAGAAACAAATGGGCAGTTCCTACTCAGTCAGGATGAAGAGGTCTCCCCACCTCCTTGGGCATCAATATTTGATGGCAGTCACAAGATGAATGTCCAGAAAAAGGTGTTGTCTCCTGCGGTCAAGCAGTTAAATGACGAGAAAAGGAAAAAGAGACGCGCTCCCCTCCCTCCTCCTGACAAACCTCCATTCAGCTTGAACACGCAGAGCAGCGCAGATCAGCCGGCTGAGGACGACAGGGGCGGTGCAGGTCCATCCCAGGCCTGGCCTCTGGACGGCAGCCCAGCAGCCCGGCAACAGGCCTTACAGAAACCGGTTGCCGCTCCTCGAAAACTTCTGCCTGCCAGGAAAAATAGTTCCTCTGACGGTGTGCACACAGGCACTCAAACCAGTTTTGAAACTAAGCCAGTGCCAGCCCCAAGGCAGAGATCCATCAGAGGCGTTTTGGACCCCAGGTCGTGGTTGCAGGCCCCAGGGTAGGAAGCCCTCGCAGTGCACAGCCCTGAGCAGGTGCTGCTGGGAGGCTAATTCAGAGGCCTGGGACGGTGTAATGTGTGGAGCTCTTTAGGTAAATGCGGTAGCAACTTGCATAAAGAATAAGCTGTTAGGTACAGAAAAAAATTGTGTAATGAAATAGATTTTAATTTCTATTAGGGTGTAAGTGATTTTCCCCATAGAGTATAAGAGGCAGTTTCTAGACAATATCCTAATTGTTGGAAGGGTTAATTTATTCCTAAACTAGTACCAAGCAGTGAATGAGCACTAAACAGAAGAAACCATTAACATTACTTTCGGGGAGAGACTGTCTAGTAATTTAAAATGTGTTACATGTGAGCCATATTCTCATTGTGAGAATGTAAATACTAATGGAATGTTTCAAAGCTTTTATTCAAGCCACAAATCATAGAATCCACCCAAGAAAACTTTCTTCTTAGCGTTCTGGAATTCTCATCTGACAGCTCACTGGCTGTCCTCTATTGTTTAACTTACCAGTTTATGGGCTTGACCTTTTAGATTCCTGGGACAAATTTTGAAATATTAAACTGTGTTTTCAAGAGAAGCTGTAATGTGCTACTCAGAGTTGTTTCTTTGATGCGCCCTGAATCCTTAACTCTCACAAGCATGGCATTTCTTCATTCAGAGTGACGGTAGGTGAAGTGTTGTGACGTCCGCTTTGGTGTGTGGTACTGATTGCATTATGACTGTGGAGTCTCAGGAAGTGCGTAGCTGATTAGCACCTTAAAATTTAATACTTATTTGAAAAACAGATGGCAGATTTAAAAAATCATAAAAGTTGGCCATGGTAATAATTTTCAGAATTAATCCTTTTAAAATTTTTAATTAGTTTCCTTTTTCTAGTAAGGGTTGATGTGTGCTATTGACACTACTCATTAAAAGTGCTATTCTTACAACAGTAACACTGGAATCATTTCCATAGGAGGTAACTTCCAGAGCAAGTAGTCATAGGGACCCAAACAGGATTATGAAGCCCAGTGAGGAATAAATAACAAGAAGATGAATATCTTGAATAAAAAGTTCATTTGTATAACAACACTTATTGTAAACAAGAAGGGAACAGTTTAAAAAAATTTAATCAGAATTTCCAAATAAAAGTTTCCATAAGGTGTCACTAACAGCACTAAAAATCTCAAATCACACTGAACCCTAAATGTCATTGCGAGTAAAAATATAAAAAATCACTGCCCCGTGTATAATATCTGGAGATCTTTTTAAAGCTAGGAAGAGCTCTATTTGGATCAGAGCTATATTATTACAAAATAAAATGAACACTTGACCAAAGAAAGCATTAATTTAAATGGAGCCTTCATTATTTTTAGATAGCATGGTCCTTTGTCATTTATAGAACATGATGTAGCTGCCAGATTACTTTGGGCCTGATGAAAGATCTCTTGTGACTAATGACACCAGGGCAGACATGGCATTTGGGGAGAAGAAAGTGACCTAAAAAGCTGATTATTTTTTTCTACTGGAAGGGTCTCATAAATTTCTGTTGCAATTGCTATTTCATTAAATTATATACTCAAAACCTAAAGGATATTATTTAGATTCTTAAGGTTTTTAAGTTTGCTGCTGTTTTTGATGGATTCTGTGATTGTCATCATCACTAAATTTTTCAGCTAGAAGGTGCTGCAGGCAAAACTGTTTCTGATACTGGCATCTAAGCATTCCTTTTTTTTTTTTCTAGTTGATGCCTTTCTTTATTACAAATCAGTATTAAAACTTCTAAGTTATAGTCATTTCTCCTGCTACAAATTATAGCAAGAAGAATTTTGAATTGTACAGGAAAGAGAACTTACTTGTGTTCTCAGAAGGGCAGTCTGAACCAGGTCTGCAGTCCTTCCTAGAACCAGCCGGGTGAAGCCTGCCTGTGCACACCCCACCCCCAGCCCAGCCTGCTCGCCCCCACCTTCCACAGTGTTCTTTGTGTTTCTGGGAACCCATCTTCCTGTGTGTCAGAGTCTAGAAATCAGCCAGCAATCTTAGCTCCATCTTTTGATCATGGTGCCCATTTGAAGATAACTTACCTGTCCCCTTAGAAGGGAAGTTACAATATAGAACTGGAGTTTGCTTCTTCCTTTTCTTTCCTTCCTCTCTCCAACTTCCATTTTCCTTTTTAAAATTAAAAAAGTACTGAGTAAAACACTGTCAAAGTATTTGTCAGAAGCGTTCGTTTTCTCATTTCCTGGGCCCCAAGTTTATGACAGAGAAATAGGCTGTGTAACGTGAAAGGTGTCAGGTATCCCATAGGTGCCTTTGTACATTCCATGTTTGTCCTTCTGATTTGTTTCTGTACGTATGAAGACTGTGCACTTGGAGCCGCTTTCTGTCAGGTCTTCATACGACTGGAGAGGCACGATAGGAGGGTTGCTGTCTTAGAAGTTTGATGACTTGAAGATACAAATTTTTTTAATTGTTACAAAAATAAGATCTTTTATTTTAACATCTTGTAAGGACAAAGACTTTTCATTATAAATATACACACTTCCTCAGGTAAATATCAAGCATGCCATGTCTTGCTGAGCTTTGTTAAACCCTCCTTAACTGTCTGCATTGCCCCTAACTTTTTTTAAATGGATGTGAATGTATGTGGAAAGCTAAATCCACTTATTATAAAGGCCTTATCTTTACCCTTTAGGGCACCATTAAATGTATTTTGCCTGGTGCTGTTTATTAAAAATGGAAGCTGCCTTGATTTAGAGACAACTTGTGTAACGTAGGTTAAGCAGCCAGGAGTTTCTTTCAGCTCATGGGCAGCACCTCCACTACCTGCTGTGAAGTTAATTAATTCAGCCCAAAATGAAATTGTAGGGCACTTTGGCGCAGTTTATGTTAAATGCCACTTGCATGTAATCATCTGCTGCTATCAACGAGGAAATCCATGTGAGACAGAGAGTGCTGGGCCAGGAGCAGGACAGGGCTCTTTGCAGGGAAGTACTTCTGGTCAGAAGTGGTCAGACTCAGTTGTATTCTCAGAGTGAATTATTGGAATAGTAATTAAACTTTAATTAACGACCATTTATGTTCTAATAGTTGTTCTCATTGTTCTGTAAAACTAATGTAAATGGAGTTGACTTTTATACTTACATTTCAAGGCATTACTCTTTTTAAATGTTTATATGTTTGTGTTTAACTACTTCATTATAATAATAATTATGTGAAAAGTGTTTTAGATTATGCCGTTTCCTAGTTAACCCTGGGAAAGATATTACTTTGTGTTTTTAAAAAACAGGATTTCACTTGAAAATGTACTAGGGAGTCATTTTCTAACATGTTTGTATAATTAGCATTGTTTATAGTTTTTTAATTAAATGTGGATAAAATTTCTGTATTAAAAGTATTAATGTTGGACTGTTAAATATATTTGAGAAGGAAGCCTGAGTCATGTGATGAAGTGTCTGCACATCACTAGAACTGTCTCGTGAGGAGGTCTGGTGTGTGTGGTGTGCTGTGGTTTTTCTGAGGCGGTGTCTTGGCTAGCTGTGTAGCACAGGCTGGCCTCGAGCTTTTGGCAGTCCTCCTGCCTCAACCTCCCAAGCGCTAGGACTGCAGGAGTGTGCCCCCACGCCCAGTAATGGGGATATTTTTTTTAACATTTTTTCTTACAATCTCTCTCCGGCTGCCACCTGGAGTCTAACCCTCTGATCGCCGTGGTGTGCTTAGCACCTGTTTGCTTGCGTCTGTGTCATCCTTCCAAAGTGCACACACTCTAAGTATCCATTGATGTTACCCTGTTTTCAGGTCCGCGATCCAGAATTTCCGAAGAGTTTGGGCCACCAGAGCGGCAGTGTGGTGCCTCATGTACTCAGTGGCTGCTGCCGCAGGAGACTTGCTGTAATTCTTCTCAGCACACAAGGCATCTTGGGAGCTCCTAGGTCCAGGCTGGGGCAGGAATGAGCAAACTCGGTTTAGGTGACATTACATGCATGCACTTCTCAGCCGGTAGGATTAGGAATAATTGACATTTCTTTTTAGAGAAAAACCTTTCCTTTAAAGAGAGGAGCCTACTAATCAGTGTACTTAGATAAATACCTTAACGTTCAGTTAAGGAAAAAACTATTTCAGAAATTTTTAAAAACATTTTTCTTTCTCTTAGTATAGGAAAAAATACCAATCCTGACATATTTGATAATTAAGTAAGATTATGCCAAATTATACTGAAAATTGTGTTTTCAGTTGCAACAGCTTGCTTTTAAGAGCTATGGGAGTCTGTTAATGTAACTATTAAGTGAGAAGTAGGTTGAAAAGATGTTATGTGTTCATAATTAGGCTGTATCACAAGCATGTCTCAGGATATCAAAATAACTTGGTGAAAATGGATACTTCTCATTCTTGTGTTACATCAAAATATTTTTATGGTTTTGTCTATTGTAAAAGAAGCAAATTTTCTTTTTTGTGAGTATATAATGTGTTTTTAATTTGCTGTTTTAAATATTGAACAATTCATAGGAATTCATAATTTTCTTTTAGAAGAACAAAAGGTATAATTATTTGTTTTTTATTTTATTTATTTTGGGCGGGGGGAAGCAGATACTCTATTAACTGACCAAATCATAAAAACACCATGGTAGATACCTTAGTTCATCCTTCTAATAAGCCTGTTGATCTGGTCTTCCCTATTTCCTGCATCTCCACCTTCCATAAAATAGGTGGTCTTTTTCTTCATTCCACCTTGAGGAGATGATAACTTGAAGTGGCCACAGAAAGTTATTTGCCTCTTTGAAGCATTTTCCAACAGTACAGATCTCATGAATCAGATCCTCCATGCAGATGATGCCATATTTACCAAGAGATCGAGCAATCAGTGAATTATCTGTCAAGGCAATTCGCTTCTTACGACTTTGCCACAGCCACGCTTGTGTGTTAGTTTGTTCATGGACTTCAGGTTTAGGCACCCCCACACAATATATGGCTCCACAATTCTCAGCATGTTATTTGAAGCCTTGTTGAGCTGAACAAAGGTACCACTGAAGATTTGGCGAAGGCGAATAAACTGCAACACCTTGTGGACCTTTGGGCTTGCACCATTGATACCCCTGATCTGGATGACTAATGCCAGTTTGGGCTCTGCAGGGGCATAGAAGTCACCAGCTTTTCTTACCATCCTAGCCATTCAGATCTCAATTCTGTACATCTGTCGTCTGTCTGTACTTATAATAGTGCCTGGCTTTTTCATAGGCGAGCTTCCTCCTCGCCTTGCGAAATGTCTTCTGGGCAAACTTCTTTCTCATGCGCTTTATCTTCAACTTGCGCAATGTCTTCGTTTTTTCTTAAGGGTTTCTGGCACAGCAGGAACCTTCCTTTTCTTTTCTGCATGCTCCATGGTTCCAGCTGGAGAAGAGGAAGTCCAGGCATAATTATTTAACCTGTTACTGAAACATGTTAAAATATACAAAAATAGAAAACTACATAATATGCACATACATATTCATACAAATACTCTGAGTCTCTATCCCTGTGAATTCAGGTATTTTCATTTAGTTTTGAAAGTCTCTTTTAAAAGTGCAGCTAATTGTAAGGAGCAAAGGGCCAGCCACTCTC